TTCAAGAAGTTGCATCTGGAGTGCTCTTTGGAGGCAAGGATGAGACGTTGCCTCACATACTTTGGGCATGTTGCTAGGAGGTGCTCTTCCTTGGAGAGGGACATGATGCTTGGAAGGGTGGAGGGTCCACGAAGGAGAAGACTCTTGACCAGGTGGATTGACACAGGGACTGCTGCAATAGACTCTAGTGTTTCAGGAAGTGTGAGAATTGCCCAGGATAGAACAAGGTTCAGATCTGTTTTTCATAGGTTTGTTATAAGTTGTATTCCACTCAACGGCACCTACCTACAGCAACAGCATACCTAATGATAGGGACCTCTGGTGGCCCTAGTGGAAGAAACTATGCTTCAATTCTGAAGGCATGCCATACAAAAGTAGTAGCTACTCAGTGGGACAAAGATGGCCACTCTCCTCCTGTGCAGTTTACTGCCTCTGAAAACCCACTGGAGGCTCAACTGTGGGTTGATTCTGCTTTGACAACACCTAACATACCTACTGTTGGATTTGTTAGTCAAACAGAATAAGATCATATTGTATGGTTTAAAAACCAAGAAAAATATGCATCAGAATTGCATCCTTTCACCATTCATATGCTTGTCTGTCTGCTGAGCAAATAATAGAAGAAACCAGATTACATGAAGAAAAATATGGCATCAGAATTGGAGGAAGACTAATCAACAACCTGCAGTATACAGATGTTACAATCTTGCTGAGAGTGAAAAGGACTTGAATCAGTTACTGAATAACTTCAAAGAGTGCAGTCTTCAATCTGGACTTTATCTCAGTATTAAGAAAACACAATCCTCACAACTGGACCAATAAGTAGCAGCATGATAAATGAAAAAAAAAGAATGAAGTTGTTAATGGTTTCATCTTACTTGGATTCTCTTTTAACACTCATAGGGGCAGCAGGCAAGAAATCATACAATGAGTTTCATTAGACAGATGTTCTAATAACTACTTTAAAGTGCTAAAGAATAAAGATGTCACTTTAACACTAAAGTGTTTTGGACCCAAGTCATGTTTTTTTAAATAGTCAGATGCTTTAGAAACCTACTCATAGGTGACCCTCCAACAGACTTCAGAGGATATAAGTCACATTGTAGGAGATTGGTTATCTTTCTCCCAAGGAGCAGCTGGTTGATTTTTAATTGTGTGCCTTCGGGTTGACAATGCAACTCCTCACCAGAGCTATTTTAGCTGCTTTTATGTGCGTGTGAAATTTGAGCATTTACTAAAGAAGATGAACTAAGAATTAATGCCTTTGAGTTTTGGTGTTGGTGATGTATATTGAATATACCGTAGACTTCCCAAAGAATAAACAATCTATGTTGAAAGTAGTGTACCCAGAGAGCTTCTTAGGAGCAAAGATAATGAGACTTTATCTCGTATACTTTGGGCATCAAGAGGAATTAGTTACTGGGAAAGGACATTGTGCTTGGGAAAGTAGAAGTTCAGCAAAAGAGAGACAAACCATCACTGAGATACACTGATAAAGTGACTACGATAATGAGTATAAGCATAGCTGAGATTGTGAGGATATTTCAAGATCAGGAAGGATTTTGTTCCTTTGTGTACATAGGGTTACTGTGTCTTGGAGCCAGCTCAGCAACCTGGAAATTAATTTGTTTTACCTCCCGGAGGAACTGCCAAATGATTTCACACTGGTAAATTTTTGTCAATAAAGTATTGATGGTGTAGTCTTTGTTGGTATAGTTTCTAAGATGTTGTGCTGCTCTATCTGGCAGTTCTAATTTCTTCCATGGGAGAAAGATGGACAATTTCCCATGTGATTTATAGTTCCCCAAAATTTGTTGGAAGGTCAGTTATGAATGAGGTCTGGCTCAAAAGCAATGACTTCGAAGTGCTTTGTTTTTTAAAAGGTACTAAGTTTGTCGTTTTTCTCTATCTTTGCTAGCCTATCACTTATTTTTTAAAAGGTGAATAAATAGAAATATCTGGATTGTGGGATTTGAGGTTATTTTGCTTTCCATTTTAATGTTTTTAAAAATCTTTTAACATTCATAGAATTAGCTGCTGTTACTATTATAAGGTGTACTGGCATAAGGAGCCCTGGAGGCTCCATAGCTGAATGCTCAACTCCTAATGGAAATATCAGCAGTTTGAATCCACCAGTGCTCGTCTGTGAGAAAAGACTTGACAGTCTGCTTTTGTACAGCCTGGGAAACTCGATGAGATAATTCTCCTCTTACCCATAAGATTACTGTAAGTTGGAATTGAGTAGATGGCATACAACCATAATTTGGATTATACAGAGGAAAAGGAAATAAAAAATTGTTTCATGTTCTCACTTCAGTACACTGAAGTAAAAAGTAAACACATTAATTTTAGTAAACACAAGAATAACATAAAAATGTTTATGATGCACTGTTGACTGAATAATAAACTGTAAAAAGGACACACAAACACACACATATACATATAGGCTCACACACATACACATGCTTATTTTTGTATAAGGGGAATTTATGAGTTTGATTTATTTCCCTGGTAAATTTATCATTTGGGAGCTGCATTACAGTGTAGTCTCTCTCCTGCCTCACAGTTCCCCTGGTTAAAATCTGGTCTTTGTTACTCACAGTGGTCTTACGCACAGCAGTGATGATGAGGATGGTGCAGGACCAGGAAGTGTTTTGTTATCTTTTCCAGAAGGTCACAGGGAGGGCCCAGAGTACCTGATATCCCTGGCACCTTTACGACAAGAATTATCGGTATTCAGATATATTTTTTTTCTATTTTTAGGAACAATTGTTTTGAATCAACTATATAAGAAATATGAGTCACTCTGAATTTAGATTTAGAGATTCCAAATACATGAAGAAAGAATACTGATGTTTTTGAAACTGTATAATAATTCTCTTTCAGTATAGGAATGAGTGAATAAATTGGATATGTTTATTTGATAAAATACTCTTCAAACTTTAAACAAATTTTGTCTAAGCATATCAGCATAGATGGATTCCAAAACCAAAATTGAGTTAAAACATTGTAGAATATGTAAATATGCTGTGGCATTTATAGAGTATTTTAAAATTCCAAAGAACAATTTATTTTGGTTATAGATACTTAAATATTTAATACAGGTATTTAGATACCAAGGAGCCCTGGTAATAAGCCCTGGTAAAGTAGCTCATCTGCCAATCAAAAGGTTCATAGTTCAAATTATGGTTTAAAAGAGCACAGCATTTGCAATGCGTTCTGTTAAGCAGACTATTTAGTAAAAGGCAGAAGTCAACAATTTCCCACATGTTTGTTCTGCTCTACCACTTCCATGTTTTCCAGCATCACTTGTTCCTTCTTTGTTCCATTTCCCCACTCCTCTGTGTCACTTGGGTTCTGTGGTTTGCTGGAAGATCTCACAGAAACTCAAACATGTCAGAGAAATTATTCACAGGACTGTGGGTGGTACAGGCTGGTGTTGCAGAGACAGGTGAGTGATAGGCCAGGATCCTGTAGATTGTCAGTTGCAGCACAGCTGGATGTTGTGTCCCAGGAGAGAGAAGGATTTAGCATGAAGCTTCCATGACCTTTTATAGGCCTTTAGAAGGATAGGGCTTGTATCCCACACTAACCCTATCTCCTTAATTCAATAAATACTTCACCACAAAATAGAAAGTTAATCAATGACTAAGAAAGCCATTTCAAACAATAAACCTTAACAACCCCAACCACTCTGGCTGTTTTGTTATGAAAAGCCCACAGTGTATGGTGGGTGAGGCATGGAGTTTGAAAATAGATGATGATGAGAAATGGTTGAATTCTGGATATACTACCTTTTAACAAAAGCTCTTTGTCAATCAGTTAAAGATGCTTTTATCTCAGGGGAAATTGGATGTTAGTGAGAAAAGAACAGTAAACACACATTCGCTTCCAGTGATAAACTGTGCAAGTGACCTCAAAAGATTTAAAACCTCAGAAGATCTTCTACGGGATCATGGGAAAGTGGTTTTAATTTTCCCCTTACCTGTTATTTTTGTTGTTGTTAGATACTGTTGAACTGAGTACGACTCATAGTGACCCATTGTACAGCAGACCTGAATCCTGTCCTTCTGACACACTTGAGCCCATTATTACAGTCACTGTGTCAATGTGTGTCATTGGGATCATCTTCTTTCTGACCCTCTACCTTTCCAAGCATGATGTCCCTTTCTAAGGAATAACCTAGCCTCTCAGTTACTTTTCTTGTTGGTTTTTTTTTTAACCCTTTTGAACTTTGCAGTTGTTTAAACATGAAATTTGAAGTCTAAGTGTAGGTGTGATATCTTGAGATTAATGATTAACTCAAGTTAATGTGTTAACTTAGATGAAAATTAAACACTGATTTTTTGTTACTTACTTGTATAGGTATAGGTGTAGAAAAGTAATAAATGACCACCTTTTGCTTACATTTCTTTCTCCATCGAGACTTTTTAAGAAACTAACTTAGCTTGTGACACCTTTTAAAAATTGTAAACTATTCTGAACATGTTTAATTTCATTGATTTTAATTTTCAGGTATGTGGTAACAAAATTCAAATGGCTTTGAGTTTTATTCTGGGGTACTTACATTACATGTTCACAGTTCACTTATATTTTAGAAGTTCAGTTGGTATATGATTGGTATGTAATGACTTTGTTTTGTACTGTTTCTAAGTATGATGATAAATAATTACTCAAACACTATTAAAAATGTAATTATTCAAACCATCTCTTAAAGTGATATTGTGACCAGTAGGTGAATTATACTAGTGAAGTCAGAAGATATTTTATCATACTTTAAAATCTAATTTAGTACAGAAAGTGGGGCAGTAGGTTCTTTAGTATCTTATGAAAGATGCCGTTGTAGGACATAATGCTTAATCTTAATTAAAAATTTTACTTTTATATATACTTATATGTGTGTGTGTATGTGTATATATGAAGAAGAGATAAGACTCTTTCAGATATATCTCAATAAAATGTGTCATTCATATTAATTTTCTTTTTTTATTCCCTTTTAGCAAAACTGTACAATCTAAAGTGGACTGCATTTTGGTAAGTAAACCAGTTTTAAAGTTCTTTTGTAACACAACTTAATACCACATAAAATGCATTCTTTTGAGGTAAATATTGTTTAAAATACAACCAATTTAATGCATTGGTTATAAACTCTGTCCAAACACTTTCCTATAAGCCATCAATAATGAAATCACAATCTTGAGGTACTGTAATGTTTTTGAAATTTCCTAGCCTTTACAGAAATGATCTCTTAAGCATTTAATGATAGTAGAACTTATTTTTATGTGCTAATGATGCTATGAGGGAGCTCTGGTGACTACTGGCAAGAAGCTGTGCTGCAATCCCAAAGGCACATAGTTCGAGGCCACAGGCTATTCCATGGGGAGAAGAATGGACAGTCTCCCCATAGGATTCCAAGACATTAAATCTTTGCAGGAGCAGTCTGCCTCATCTTTTTTCTAAGGAGCAGCTGGTATGTGTGAACTACCAGTCTTTATATTAGCAGCAGTCCTCATAGCTATTAGGTACACAAATAAATAACAGTAGGTGGAAGAATTAATGTCATCAGTTCTAAGAGTCTTGGTGACATAGTGGTTCAAGCACTTGGCACCTATCCAGAATGTTTACAGTTCGAATCCACCAGCCCCTCTGAAAGAGAACAATGTGATCCGATAAAGATTGTAGCCTAGGAAATCCTGTCAATGTATTAAAGACTAACACCTTTGCATTTATCACATTTGCACCTTTACACATATGCAATTATTTAAAAAAATTGCTATAAACTTTCTGTCTGCCACTTCTAGACTTATGAAGAATACAAAATTTTAAACACACACATAACATATTCTTTGACCACAATAATTTTATTTATTTTTTTTTTGTCAGAACATATTTAAGAGTATTGTGGTGTTCTGTGAAAGCAGTGATTGGAAATGGAATGTCCATCCCACCCTCTCAACACTCAGAGCAATTTTTCTCTCTCTCAACAATCAAGAGTCTCATTCTCTATATGTAGTTTGATACTTATTATTTGATTACTGTGTATCATATTCTGAGTACCAGAGGACAGTGGTAAAAAAGACTGACTTAGCTCTTAACTAAGACCACTTAATATCATTTGCAGCACCTGAGATAACTTTAGAGGATTACTTATTCTTTTTTCTAAGAAGACAGAGGTAGAATTGTGGTGTAAATTAAAAACACGATATTTATAAAGAAATAAGAATCCCAGTTTTTTTCTTTTGCAATTATTTTTATTTCATATTGATTTACAAGCAAAATTTGTATACATTGTTTCATTTATCCACATTGTGTTTCATGCATTCTTTCAAAAGTTAGTAAGTGTTTAGGGTAAGGTAGTAGTATTGTGGGGGTTGATGTGTTGTGCATGTGTGTAGTTAACATAGTTTTTGAGTACATTATTTGCCACTACACTTAGACTTTTGAAATATGGGAATGAACAAGATAGAAAAATCTGTGTTCTTATGAAACATAAATATTAGTAAAATAGGTACCTGGTCAACTGACTTGAATAAATTATGTACACATTCCAAAGGAAGGCAATCAAACAAAAGAAGGAAATCATCAAGCAATATGATTAATATCACATGCTAGCAAAATTTTCCCTAAGGTTATCCCAGAATGATAGCTTTACATTGATAGGGAACTCAGAGTTTAAGCTAGATTCCAGAAAAGAATATAGACTGAATATTATTGCTGCTAGTAGATGACTGTTGACTGAAAGTGTAGGATACCAGAAGGATGTTTATATGTTTTTTATTACTTATCTAAAAACATTCAACTATGTGGATCATAAGAAATTATCAACAACTTTTTAAGAATAGAATTTCCAGAACACTTAATTTTGTTCATGTAGAACTATAAATTAATCAAGAGATAGTTATTTTAACAGAACGGGGGGTACTTAAATGAAAACATATCTAGCAGTATTGTATCCTTTCTTCTTACTTGTAAGTTAAATATTCCATGAACTTGGACTATATGAGGAAGAAACTGGCATTAATATTGGAGTAATACATTAACAACCTGCTGAATGTAATTGATACAACCTTGCTTCCTCAAAATATAGATGATTCAAATGATTTATTGATAAATACCAATATTAACAGCCTTCACTGTAAGTTACTCTTGAACACAGAACAAAAAGTTTTCCAACTGAACCTGTAAACAAAATTATGATAAATGGAGAATAATTTCTTTCAACTTTAATTAGCAGTCTGTACCCACAGATGGCAGCAGTCAAGAAATCAGGCAGTGTATTACTTGGAGTAAATCACTGCAAAAGTCTGCTTTAAAGTTTTAAAAAAGTAGAGATGTCACTTTAGGGCTGACACAAACCATGGTCTTTTTAGTCATTTCTTAAGCATGTGAAATCTGGAAAATTAAGAAGAAAGACAAAAGGATAATGGATTTAAACTGTGGTATTGGCAAAGGATGTTGAATATATTGTGTATTATAACTAATGCCATCTTACAAGAGCTGCAACCAAAATACACTTTGGAAGTATGAGTGACAAAACTTCAGCTAGCTTACTTTGGACATGTCCTGAGGAAAGATCAGTCAGTAGAAAAAGACTGTTTAGGTAGAGTAGACATTCAGCAGAAACCGAAGAAGTCCTGAATGACAAGTATTGACCCAGTAGCTACACATTGGGCACAAATATACCAACATTCATGACTGTCACACATATTCAGGCAATATTTTATTCACCAGGTCACTATGTGGTGGGATGAGCTAGACAGCAACGAACAACAGCAGTGTATTGCTTATTATAGTAATAAGTACTTTTATAAACAATCCTCATAAAACTTTAAAATAAGTAAGTAATGGTAGATGAAGTCACTGTGGATTGGCTAGTCAGGAAAACCCTTTTTGAAGAAATAACATTTGACAGTGACTTGAATAATAAACCAACCATATGTGATGATCTGTTGGTAACATAATAGGCATAGGGAATGATTAGTGAAAATATTAGGAGACAAATTAATTTGAGCTATCTGAAGACTGCAAAGAGCTTGTAGTCTGGAACTTGGGGAAGGAAGGAAAGACTAGTGTGAGAAAATTTCCAGCAAGGATCAGTTTATGTGAGATATGTGTAGTCATTAATTTCCTTTTACATAATGAAAGTCACAGGGCAAGAAAATGATACTTTATATTTTAAAAACTTCTGTCTGCTGTTGAAAGAATGGATTGTAAGAGGAAAAGAATGGAAAAAGAAGCAACAGGCTGTTAGAGTAGTTCAAAAGACAATTCAAGACTCCTGCTCAAATGATAGCAGTAGGAGGTAGAAGTCAGTGTGTATTTTTAAAATAAAACTAATAGGCCTTGAAACAATAAGGAGTCAAGAATAACTCCTAGGGTTTGGCTTAAGTAATTAACTATTTGGGACTGCCAAGAGCTGAAATACTGCAGGAGGAACAGCTTTGAGGAAGAAAAGATTTTCTGATGTTAAGATCATGGAGATTTTAGACTTCAAGTAAGGTTTCAGGTTGGCACCAAGATGGGGATATGAAATTTAATGGAATAGATGCAGATTTGTTTCTTATGCAGAATTAAAAGTATGAAACTGAGTTTTGTTGTTTTGGTTGTTGTTAGGTCCTATTTAGTCCATTCTAACACATTGTCACCCTCTATAAAATGTATTTGAACTCTCCCCTGTCCTGCACTTATCTTCACATTCTCCACTGATATCCAGGCTCTTTAGCACTTTGGAGAAGTCCTTGACAGCAGATTTTCCCAGTGCATCAAGTCTTGATTTCTTGATTTCTGCTACCAAGAGTTCTGATTATAGATCCAAGTAAAAGGAAAGCCTTGACAGCTTCATTCTTCTATCCATGTGTCACGATGCTGCCTACTGGTCCAGTGGTGAGGAATTTTGTTTTCTTGATATTGAAGTGTAATCTACAGTAAAGGCTATAGTCAGAACTTTATTCAGTAAGTGCTTCAAATCTTCATTCTTTCAGCCCCCAAGATTGTGTCATCTGCATAACACAGGTTGTTAATGAATCTTCCTCCAGTCTTGATCTTCTTCCTGTATCGGTTTAACTACTTAAATTATTTGCATAGTATATAGATTGAGTAGGTAGAGTGAAAAGATAGAACTCTGACACACACTTTTCATGATTTAATTTTTTTTAATATTTT